TCGACTTCAGCTTGCCCCATTTCGCGCGGATGTCGAAACCCACCATGGCTGCGGGCCGTCCACAACACAAATGCCTTGGCCCAGTAGACATAAGCCTTCTCGGTCTGTAGGCTGTAATGCAGGTAGCGAACCCGTTCGCGCACCTGATCGAGCAGCTTGATGGATCGGGGAGGGACCCAGTCAGGTTTGTCATTTCTGTTATACCTGTTCATGCATCCAGTATGATGCTTTACAGAATTGATTTCAAACACTTTTTTTGGGTGCCGTGCGACATTGTTTAACGACCACGGTTGTGGGTATCCGGTGTTTGGTCAGATAAACCACAAGTTAGCCTTCTTGGAATCAAATGCTTCAGAACCGAGTCGACCCATCAGGCCAATTACATGCAGTTTCAGATCGCGGCGCATTAATGGGCAATCGAGGAATTCTGCACAACGCAGAAAACCAAATTATTCGGCCATGGGCCCACAAATCTTGGGTAACCTGCCTTCTTTCTTACAAGAACATTAAGCGCTCAAAACCGTTTTCTGCAGGAAACTATTCTGAACTTTTCTTCCTTGATGAAGCAACCGCTTTTGCGGCTGGCCATCGCCCGTGCAGCTACTGCCAGCGGGAACGAAGCAAGTTATTCAAAGCTGCATGGTTAAATGCAAACGCGCCCTGCACTGAGCATTCAGACATCAGCATGCCAAAATTGGACGCGCAGCTACATAAAGAGCGTTCGCTTCGCGGCGGAACGAAGATAACCTATCAGGAATCGGTAGGCACCCTCCCAAAGGGTGCGATGTTTGCTCACAATGGATCATTTTTCTTGGCTAGTGAAAATGGCTATCTTCCGTGGACATTCAGTGGTTATGGCTCCGCTATAGATTTAAGCCCAACCACATCGGTGTCTGTTCTCACCCCAAAATCCATAGTGGCGGCGTTTACACATGGCTTCCAACCATATCTTCACCCAAGCGCCAGCGTCTAACCCTGCGGTCAAGCCGATCCGCCTTCGGCGTCCGGCTTACCTCGCCCGTTAGGCCCGCTGGAATCAACTATGGAAAACATCCCCAAAGACATCTACACGGAACCTGAGCCGGCAGTCGATACGCTCGCCAATCTGGGACCGCTCACCGGCATGGCAGGCATATGGGTGGGCACGCACGGCCTCGACGTCAATCCGAAGCCCAACGGCCCCGAAAAGCAGGCTTTCATCGAACACATGGAGTTGCAGCCGATCGATGCACAGACCAATGGGCCGCAATTGTTCTACGGACTGAGGTACCACACGCGGATCGTCAAGCCTGATGACGTCGAGACATTCCACGACCAAGTCGGCTATTGGCTATGGGAACCGGCGACGGGCACCGTGATCCAGACGCTTTCGATACCGCGCGGACAGGCAGCGATGGCCGTCGGCCGTGCCGAGGCCGATGCGAGAACGTTTCGCCTCGAGGCTGTCCGCGGGTCCGAAACAAACGGGATCGTGTCAAAACCCGTTCTTGGAATATGCGTCAGAACGAAGAGCTACATCATCACGGTTGCGATCAATGTCGATGGAACGTGGTCCTACGAACAGGACACTGTGTTGATCATCCCAGGCCAGGCGGAGCCGTTCCACCATACGGATCGCAACACGCTCCGGAAGGTCGGAGAGCCTACGCCCAATCCGACGGCGCAAGCGGCAGCGACCAAACTCCGGAAATCCTAGGGCCAGGGATGAGCCCTAACATTCAGCTCAACACGGACCTGTCGCGGCAAGCCGCGCCAGCCCGGTTAGCTGCACGTTAGGCTCTAAAACCACCAAATTTCTATCGTCCGCAATCATTCTCAACCAACCTAACGGAGCATTACATGGCCGATCAAGAACTAAGAGACAAAAACAACAAGCTTCTCGCGAAAATAAAGACCCTTTCCAACGGAAAGCTCGAGATCCGAGATCCTAATAACAAACTCAAAGGAACGTACGATCCGAAGTCGAATGAGACTCGGGATCCAAACAATAAGCTTGTCGCCAAAGGCAACATGCTACCACGCTCCTTTGAATTTCTACAACCGAAAGTCCAAAATGGCAGTCAATTCATTTCGTCCAAGAAGTACGAGGATCACGAAATCGTCGATAGTGGTGGAAAGGTCGTTGGTCACATCCGAGTCAAACCGAGTGGCGTTCTTTGGTCACCGAAAAACGCAAAGACTGGTACGGCATAGGCCTCGCCGAGTTCGCCGAGTATCTTGAGCAAAATGGCAAGAAACAAAAGAAATAGCCTTGCAAGGTATCTGTGCACTTTACCTAACTATTCAGTCAAGCCGACCCGCCTTCGGCGAGCGGCTTACCTCGCTCGTTAGGTGGCAGTTTTGCTCCAGAAGTCGTCTAAATAAATCAACGGGATAACGAAAAGGAAATATATAATGAATTTTAATATTAAAATGTTGAAAAAATATGCCGTGTTTGGCGGGATAGCTATCGCGTTCTCATTTGCAGGTTCTGCAGTCGCGTACCCCGTTACGGTCAAACTTTTAGCTGATGCTGAATGGCTCCCAGAAGGCTCTGGTGTATTGTTATCAACCGATAAGGGATATGTGCATATTTATAATGAAATATGGATAAGCTAGGAGATTCAAAAAAAGAGGAATGTTATATTTTAGAGGCTGATACCGAGGATTACGTTACATTGCATAAAAGAAATTCCCAAGCTTGAAAGCACTTGATTCACAAAGAGAAGTTTCATCTTGGACAAAAGTCAACTGCAAACCAGTGGTTGCAAAAGCTTCAACGCCGGATTTTTCCGCAACTGACTTTACACAGCTAGAACGCTGGAAAGCGGAAATAAAAGGGAAGAATATATGGCTGATAGCTTTGACAAAGTAATAGCGGAAACAGCCAAACATTTTGTAGTTTACCAAAATGCAGGTACGTCTTGTGCTGCCGGTAATCATTGGCTATTCAATAAACAAAATAAATCCTACCGACCGATAGATGCCGGGACATGTGATGATAGAAAATTCGAAGTAATTCTTGAATCCCAAAAATTAATTTTCATGAGCGGTAAAAAAATAACTGCTCAGTATCCGATTTATTGAGTTAGTCTAACCCTACATTGCAGTGGATTGCTATGCAACCACTGAATTTCAACGTTGAGCGACTGCTTACCCGTTTGACGGTCGGCCGCTCCTGGCCGAAAGCGCAGGTTGGCCGCCGCGCTCAATCGCAGTCACCTGTGTCGCTGGACTGCGTCTCTCCGTC